CGGATTTAGAGCCGGACTGTTTATTTACTGAGCACACAACAGCACTGTTTGAAGTGGTAACGCCAGAGCTCCCAAATCTGATGCGGTATTTTGATCCTTCTCTGGACCAGATCCCAGTCGGTAAACTGGTGACTTGGGGCTCCATGATTTGGGAAAAAAAAACTGACATTGCGATATCTTGTTTGACTGCTTGGTGAATATAACGTGGGTAAAAGATGCAATCTGTGGCCAGAGCACTGCAGCCTTCGTCATGTTCACCACATTATGTGTTGTTTACGTAAACTTGTGTAGAACCACGAGTCCTCAGTAGCTGCAGAATATTCCACTGTGACGGCTCAGCTTCAGTTTTTTCATACCGTTCTGCAAAGGCAACTTGAGAAAATGTTCATATAATGCGTAACGCTTGGTACGTAGCTGGATTGTGTTTTTAAAATAAAAACCTTTTAGTAACTGCTTTAATGTCTGTCTGCTGTTTGGAACCCTTAACAGTTGTCAGAATGAAGTACAGTTAATTATCTTTCACGCTATTAATGCTGTTATATCACAAACAGCTACTGTTCACCGCTACAGCAGCTTCAACACGTTAGCGGTCGTCCAAAATCGTGGTTAATTTTGCATTCTGGCCAGAGGTTATTAGGCTTCTCAAAAGTCTTTGTCATGGTGCCCCTTTACTCGCTCGTCTCCCACAATGCTCTCTGACGCCTCCTCTGGTCTCTACGGTGTTAAACAGCGAGAGGCTCCACCTGGTGGAACAACCAGGTACTGCAGCTGATCTACGACACATTTACTGACATGCATGTTTCGTCTTCTCTCTTGTGGCTAAATAATATTTATTTCCACCAAAGTGCAGCACTGGACAAGTCATCAGAAACGGTTTATTTTACGTCGGATGACGCTCAGTTCTGGCTTTCTACAGACGTCTTAGTTGTGGACATCCTCCTTTCTAAAATACTTCCATGCAATTGATGTTTTTGCAACCAAATCTTTCCTCTCAGTGTTTCTCCAGCGCTTATATTGCTTTGCACATGTGGAGCCTGCATGGCAACAAACTCTGTTTCTTAAATAAAAGGTAAAAAAAAAACCTCAGTGTATCCAAGAAACCCTGAAATGTGAGACAGATTTATTTTGTGGACCTGTCATGGAAAAGGAACTGTGTGAGTCTCTTTTTTGTTGCATGCATCGGCTATTTTGCATGTGCGCATCGCAGTGTTGACACCGAAATGATAAATCGTGCAGCTGCAAAACCAAACTGGCCAACAGGTATTTCCATCCACAGTGTTTTGAAAATAAATGTCTATTTCAGTCAAGTTTCTCCAAAGATGAGGCAACCCGACGATTCACCGTCAAAAAAAAAGTGGAAAGACACTAAAAGGCTTGCTTAAAAGCGATCGAATGAATCTGAAAATACCATTAAAAAGGTTAAAAAAAACAAAGATGTCTCGTCTGAACAGTGAAACTCGTGTAGCTGGATATCCGAGACGTGGTGAGAAAACGTCTGCTGGAGCTCCCAGGTCTTCTTGGAAAACCGGGCGGTTCGAATTCCTGGTCACACGTATCTGCAGGCTCAGGGATTTGCCGGTTCCCAAGGAAGGAAATACTGACAACGGTGAGTTTGTACTTGGTAAGAACATGCAGCTATTTTCTCGACCCTCGCTCTGAATCCCTTTTCCATATGGCAGAGACAGATGGGGGTCTGAATGACACTGCTGCAGTTATACGGACGTCAGCCTTTTTTTTTCTTCTTTCCTCTCAGCGCTCTGCTGCTTCACGCCGTGTCCCGGGCTGTACCGCTGTTTAGTGTGCAAGGACAATAAAGCAGAGATGCTGACGAATCGCGTGTGCAAAGGACTAAAACTGCTCTAAAATTCAGGGCATTCTGGCTGATTTCTTTTAACATTCAAGTCCTTGAGTGGCACCGCTTCTTCCACGTCTCGCTGTGGTTCGAGACGCTCCATGGAAACGGCCAAAGCAGCAGCGGCCTGAATATTAACCCCAGAGCTCCAATTATCATATTGACCCCGCGGGGTCCCGGGCGTGCTACACTCTGGCTGTTAAACAAGCAGAGCCGGGCCTGTAAAACTGTAAAACGAAGGTGCGCCGCGTGAAAAGGAAAGCAGAAATCCAAACCGAGGAGCGAGGTGACGGCTGTGCATCGTCCGTCTTTTGAGAATTTCCAGGTATTTTATTTTTGCTGGGGGGAGGAATTACAGACTCGGGAGGAAATAATTAAAGCCAGAGAGCGAGTGCGTGACATTTTATAGCGTCTCGGTGCAGCAGAAAAGAGAGGCCTGGACTGCAGACAGACTATCTCCGCCGTGCGCTGCTACGAGGGGGATCTGTTTACACTTCGGCATGAATGGAGGGATTCTGTAGCGCTGTTAATCAGGCTGGAACGGAGCAGGAGCCGCTCAGCCCTGCGGGTCCTTCAGGACCACGTGAGTTTACACAAACCGACTCGAGTCCATCCCCCGCTCCAGTGAAGTGCTGCTACCTTGTTCCACAGCTGAACTTTCTCCTCCGCTGTCTGGCAGACTGTAAAGAGCACTGGGCCATTGTAAATGTACTGTAAAATGAGTTCTCCTCCAAACTCTCTCCTTTCCTTAACAACCCTGTAATGTTCCCGAGAAAGTAGAAAAAAAAAGAAAAACGTGTGGAAAGAAGAGTTTAAATCAGGGCCATCTTTTTCCCCCAGGAGAGGTTAGCGCAGAAACTACACTGATTTTCATTTGAACAGCTACGCACACAAACGCAGGCGGAGCAGCTGCTTAATTACACATCATTGAAAAAGCATTTTGTTCACAAGCACTCGATTCCTGCTGCCGCCGCCGCCGCTCGCCAAGTGTTAGCGATTACATTTCAATTCACACATATACATTTCCCTTTTAGTTTGCCCCGTGACAATTTCGCAGCCTAATTGACAATTAGGCGGCAAACACGTCGGATTTAGGCGTCCCACTGTCGGCGAAACGTGTTCGGATGTGGCGGAGTTTGTAATAAAATAGCATATCAAGAGAGGTGATGATGCAAACAAATAAAAATAAATGCATTAAAACGAGACAGAAACAACCCAGAATGAAATCAGCTTCACACTAATGTCATTAGCAACTCCATCTCACGCAAACGCAGAAAACGCTGCAAGTAATGTGTGAAAAATAAAGATGAAAGTTTGTTTTATCTTCAATGCTGCATCCACACAGCAAGGAAAAAAAAAAAGCCAAATCGGTCAGAATTTACCTCAATGAATCGACACACACGGAGCAAAAATGCTGCATGTAACATGTAAAAAAAAATAAAATTATAAATAAGAAAAAAGGTTTGTTCTTTATTTTTGCAAAACAAATTTCAACGTCGCAGCAAAGAAAACTGCTAAAAAAATGCCAAAATACTTAAACTTGACCTCTGAAATCAACACAAATGCAGTTAAAAACTGAATTTAATATGCAAAAGAGTAAAAATAAAGAGGAAATTCTGTTTTGTCTTCAATGCTGCATCCACACAGCAAAGAGAACGAGAAAAAAAACGTCAAACTGGTTAGAATTTATCTCGAATCGACACACACAGAGCAAAATGCTGCATGCAAAGTGTAAAAAAAAGCAAAAATAAAGAAGAAAGTTTATTCTCTTCTTCAAATTTCACTGCAGCAAGCCACACAGCAAAGAGAAATAAAAATAAAACTCTGTAAATCAACACAAATGCAAAAACATTTATTAAAAAAAAATAAAAATGAGACGATTACATCTTAAAATATCAATGCTGCATCAAAACAACACAAAAACCACAAAAAAGTTCTTTAAAGGTCACTTCCTCAATAAATCAACACGAATGCAGTTAAAGGCTAAATCTAATATGTGAAAGAGTAAAAATAAAGATAAAAGTTTACTTTTTTAAATTTTTGCAAAAAAATAAATCAATGCAGCAGCCAGGCAGGAAGGAGAAGCACAAAGAGCTGCACATTACTCAAACTGTTCCTCTATTCATGAAGAGAAATGTAGTAAAATGCTGCATTTAATACGTAAAAAAGTAAAGGTGAAAGTTTATTTAATGCATGTTCTTATAATGTCAAGAAAACTTGTTTAAAAAGCTGCCAAATTACAAACCTTATCACGATAAATCAACACAAATGCAGCAAAATGCTGCATGCAATATGTAAAAAAAAACTAAAAATAAAGAAGAAATTTCTTTATTTTTGCAAAACAAATTTCACTGCTGCAAAAAAAAAAAGATGCTGCAATAAGATAAGATGCTGCATTTAATATGTAAAAAAAGGGGAAAATAAAAATGAGAATTTCTTACATGTTTAGTTTTACAACAAAAAAAAACTTCCATAAGCCGACTCAGATGTAAGCAGGAAGACAATCTGAGACTATTTTCATTCACCAACATCTGGAATATCAAAGAATTAGATTTAGAAATACGACTTTTTCTGAAAACAGAAAAAAATCACATTAATTTAGTGATATTTGTGGTATTTTGTGGTGAATCTTGGTGAACATGTTTCTGTGCTGATGTTCGAGGTCTGTGCTGTGATCAGGTCAGCGAGAATCTTAATTGGCTGACTGGATTTAACACGTTTTTTTTTCAATCTGGATCGAAAGATGTGATGTTTATGGCAAAGGTATGCTCGTCCAACGTGAAACACGACTCCTTGAACAGCACACGGTCGCAGCACGGGAAGTATGGAAATCAGTGACAGGCTTCAGCAGAGCCGCCGGTTTGTGCTATTTATGCACAAGCAGGTAACACCTGCCGCCTGGCACGCTGACAAATTGCTTCCCTCGGACGCCGCTTTGAAAACGCAGTAATTCATGACAGTGTTTGTTCATCCTGTTAATTGTGAGACAGCTGCGTCGTGATTTATGGCCTCCTTTAAAAAATAATCCCTTACGCCCGTTACGTCGACGGCAATTAGAAAGCAATCATTAGTTTCAGGCGGGAGCCGTCCGATCACCGCGGCCCGCTTCAGCTGAATTGTGTTGGGTTTCTTTTTTTTTGTAATCTCATCAGAACAGCTCCGGTGACTTTATGGGCACTTTCTGCTTTTTAAGTTCGTCACAATAAAAAGCTCCTGAAAGGCGTGAACTTTGTGACATGCGCTGAATAACTGAATGCAGCCCTGTTAGAAAATAAGAAATCCCACCTTCAGGAGCGCTTGTAAAGTTCAGCTTTTCTTCAACAGACAGGAAACGCGTGTCACGGCGGTGCAGGGCCCAAAGAAAAAGCAGCCCTTCAGGCCGCAAAGCACTGAAAAATACAGACTTAGAAATGTTCACATAAAATCCAAACTCAGACTCACCGTTGAGGAAAAGCTCCTCCTGCATCGCTTGTCTGGCGGCGGCGGAGAAGCAGCGTTTCTTCAGCCACTCTGCATCGAACAGGCTGACGTGCTGGTCGGGCCACACGATGGAAACCTGCGAGAGATAAAAGCTTATTGATCCCAGTCGGCCAAAGCTTTTCTGAAGCTCCCGTGTTTTCGCCTCTTCTGCTGTGATAACCCATCGGCTTAAGGTGTCTCTTTCAAACGGGCAAATATTTGCTGCTTAATAATGATTAAAAAAACGGGGATTTGGAGAAGAAACAGCCTGCTCTGCCCTCTTACAGATTAAGCTGAATGCGTTATTTGTGCCTCGTAAAACCGAGAAGGGAAAGTATTTAAATAAACTCATTTATTCCTTTTCATTTGAAGATTCCCTTTGTTCACCATCTGCCTTATAAATACCTGTGGAGAGTTTTGGCCGGTGCAGCCGTGCAATCAGCCCCTTGTAATGTTCTCTAGCCAGAGGCGGGCATGAAATCACTGATGCGGTGCTGAAGACACACGTTTACTCTAATGGGGCTAAACTCCACATCCTGGTGCAGGAAACGGGACGGAATACAGAAAAGCAAACGGTGGCTCGCCGTCACGTCAGGTGGAAATCTGTTTATAGCCGTGGCCCACTTCAGAGGCCGAGTCCTGCGAAGGACGCACGGGGGGCGACTCCTTCAGAGGACTTGAAAGGTCAGGACAAAATTAGATCATCTCACCTCACCGACCTGCACAGTTTGTCACCGGCCAGTTGTTCCCAAACAGTCAGCAAATTGGCATTCGTCTGAACTGGAGCAGGCGTCGTGACACCTGAACACGAGGAGCTGCGTGGTTTAAAGTTAGCACACGAGGAGGAATCGATTCATCTGATCACTGTTTTAATGTTTTACCCTCTGAATCCAAAAACTTACAAGCAGCTTTCAAAGATATGTGGACTAAAATTAACCTATTCCACAGAGCCATAAACTGCAAAAACTCATCGGATTATCAACTTTTTCAACAGCCCTTGCACTACTTATCCCAGTCCAACATGTCTCGTTTTGAAATTCGCCAAAAATAAACCATTTACATTAACAAAATTGTGTAAAAAACAAAAAATTCTACATCTATCGGCACAACTAAGAAGCCATGACTGACTCAGCTGTGACCAACAGAAGCGCGACATAAATTCAGAGTTTTCTGTTTTTATGCAGAGCAGACAAGAGACCAGAACAGAAACAAGTCATAAGTGTAAATAGTAAATATCTGAAGTATGTAGAGGAAACATGTCTTCAGTATTGTTAACAGCTGTGGACACTTAGACAAATGCTGGACACACTGATTCCAGAACGAATCATCGGATTATCAACTTTGTCAACAGTCCTTGAACTACTCATCTCAGCTCCATCGGGATTCTCAACCAAAGCCGAGCTTCAAATCATGATATTTTATCAAAATCGCTTTATTTCATGTGTCTCGTTTAGAAATTCGCCAAAAATAAACCGTTCACGTTAACCGAATTCTGCAAAAAACAAAAAATTCTGCACTTCTCGCCGCATTTAAGAAGCCATGACTGACTCAGCTGTGACCAACAGTAGCCCGACAGAAATTCAAAGTTTTCTGCTGAACTGCAGGCTGTGTTAAATCAGACCAGCACAGAAACAAATTATAAATGTAAATAGTAAATATCTGTAGTATGTAAACATGTTTACAGTATTTTTTAACAACTGTGGACACTTGGATAAATGTTGGACAAACTGTTTTATGATTTTTCCATTTTTAAAAAAATAATAATAATCAAAGAAACAAAACTTAAAGGAACAAAAGAATTCCTGGAAACTGCTAGAGGGTTAAATTTGGTTAATTGTTTGACCTGTAAAACATCAGAAAACAGTGAAAATGCCTGTTGGAGCTCATAAAATCCGTTGTTAACGACCAGAAAAAGCAGCAAAAATCTGACAACATGAGACCAATAACCTTTGAGCGGTTTTGCTTTTTTAAAAAAAACAACCTAGAAATGATCCAGAGTGATGATCTGAAGCAGCAGCAGATCGCTGCGACTCCAAACTGAGTGAGTCTGACGGTGGTGAGAGGAACATTACCTCAGTCGGCGCTCTGATTTGTTTGCTCACTATTTGGAGAACTGCTCGTGCTTTGTTCTTCAAAAGCCTCCTTCAGAGTGGGAGGAAATTAGGGTCTGAGGAAAACATCTAATTGCTATTTTTCAGGCACATATTTGATTTTGCCATCTAACTTTTGAAAGTCCTGCTTCAGGTTAAATGTTCACAGTGTGATGGATTGAAAACAGATGATGGACCACATAGAACATCATAGGAAGCCTGACTTTACCCTCACAGAGGAAGGACGGCATGAGTTTGTAAAACCGCTGAGACGACAGTCTAAACTGTGGCTCCAACGCGCTGCAGGATGTATATCCTCGACTGCAGCTTCTGTGGCTTTAAGTGGCTTTAATATTAAACCAGGTAGCAGAAGTAAGAACTGTTTGGATTATCGGCTAAGACGGTGTTTTGGTTACCAATTTCCACGTTTAGATCTGCGGATTTCGAAGCACCGCTGGACATATTTCCACAATATTAGAGGCTCAGTTCATCTTAAATCATCAGGATCCGTCTGCTCTAACATCTCTGATTGGCCTGAGACTATTTTTTATCATATATTAGGGTAATTAAATGGTATCTGAGCACTTTCTGAGAATTTGTTTTGCCTGTCAAAACATTTTTAGCAGGTTTTTTCACACATTGAAATCTGAGGCTGTTTGCACAACATCTCCAAAACTATTAAAGGTAAAAGCCTGAGTTATTTATTGTTATTTCTCATCATGTCCTTGATTCACAATCAGCAATACTTGATATCGAGCAGTGTTTTTGTGTTTGTGGTACAGCTTGACATACCTGCTCCATTAGTTATGAAACTTAAACTTCACTTTTTTGTTTTTGTGACCAAGTATTTCATATTAAATGGATTCCTTATGTTTTGTTTTGTATTATTGTGCCAAAAATCCTGCATTTTTGTTCATGCGAGCTCAAGGATAATACATTTTATGACAGCTTCAATTTTCTTTTTTTTCAAATTTCAACTCATCCATAATCTAATATTATTTGCTCTACTTTTTTTCCAATATTGCAGATTCTAAATCAGTGACATGATGAGAAATAACGGTGAAACTTCAGGCTTTTATCTTTAATACTTCCTTTTTAAATTTCAACGTGCAGAAAAAAATCTGCTGGAAGTCGGTGGAAAGATTTTTTTTTTAACATTTTATCCTGAAAATGTTTCAATGGTGAAGCTAAAATTTCACAAATATCTTTATAAATATCAAGAGTTTAGATTTCCAGACAGGTTTTAGCTCTAAGAGAAGCAGAAGTTAAGCCTTTTTTTAATATCTGTACTTATCTGCCATCTACCAAGTGAAAATGAAAGTTAATCCATGTGAAATGTCCTTTACTACCGTCCAGTGGAATTGTAAAACCGTGTGGAAGCTCAGAAGAGGTTCACATCGAGCAGGATGTCAGGTCTATAAAACGTACTGGAACATTTTACACACGGTCATAAATTAAACATTTTGCTTTCAATACAGAACGTCCACGTGACGTGTGTGAATGTGGGAAACACAAGTGAGGTCGCGGCAGCAGCAGCAGCAGCCCACCTTGTTGTCATGGGTGACCTCCGCGGCGTCGACTCCGGTGTGCACGTCCAGGTCGGTCAGCGGCAGCAGCCGGGCCTGAGCCGACTGCAGAGTGCAGCGAGGACACTGGCAGTTGTCTCTGAGCCAGGTGAAGGGATACAGACTGTGGCCGCCGTCCTCCCACTCCACCTCCATCATCCGCTCCTGGTCCAGAGCTCGGACCTGCCTGACGGAGTGGCGACCCAGGGGGAGGGAGGCCGAGCCCAGGGTCTGCTGCCCGCGGAGCTGCACTGAAGTCGAGTGGGGCGGCGCCGGTGCCCGACACGCCCTCAGAGCCCGGCGGGCGGCGGCGCCAGAGCTCCTCTGGAGGGCGGGAAGGGCAAAACGTGCAAATGTGCTCATCCACATTTCGAACGGCTCCCTCCGGGCGGCTTTATCTCCGGATCAGAAAGGGATAACAGCTCTGCAGGAAGAAAGAGGAAAGCGAGAATCATGCACTTCCATCCTACGTGCTTCACAAACCAAACTACCAGCAGGAGTCTCCTCATGTCGAGCTACATTTCAACATTTCCAGCTTATAAACTGCCTGAATGACAATGTGAGGATGGTAGAACAACATCCAAAAAAGCACCAACAACATTTTTGGGGGGATTTAAATGTTAAAACATGTTTATCTGTCCATTAAATGCGACCTATTTAGCAGAAACCATGGTGCAACACTTGTTTTTGAGCAACGCCGGGCTCCCTAAATGTGAGTTTTATCAGGAGGCTTTGGGAATTGTGACTGATCACTATGCCAAGAAGGTTTTTTCTTCTAAGCTTGGTCTGCTGGCATAATCTTGGAACAATCAGCAGGATTGTTTCAGTAGAAAACAGAGTTTACAGCAGTTCAAAATACTGCACCTGAGTTTGGTTTCCCCGACATATGAGCAGTCCTGAAACATATAAAGCATACAAACTATTTCCTTCCCGTTTGTTCTGTAAAATCCTCGTCATCCACTCTGACCAGCAGCCCACAAAACACCAACGTCACATCTAACAACCTGAATCTAGGGCTCAAGAATTAACCGACATACGCTCAAAATCACAATATACAAATCACAGGAGGTGCATTTCACTAAACCAGAAGGTAAAATGTGTCACAGCTACCCTTTATAACTGAAGCATTGTGGAGCTACAGAGATTCCCTGACCTATTTATATTATCCTCCAGATGTACGTGAACATCTTTTGGGAACAGACTGTAGCAGAAATTCATCATTTTTATATGTTTCAGTGGAAAAGACAAGCAAAAAAAAAAAAAACACCATTCCAGCTAAAATCCTGACTCATATCACATTAGCCCTCCTGGGAGCAGGAATACACGATTTATTGCTCCGGCATCGACAGCGCAATGCGAAGTGAGTCAAATTAGGTCAAACACGTCGTGCTACAACTTTTCTTTTTTTTTTTTTTTTTGCTGCATGATACGAAAAGAAGCCCTTTTCCATGACGTGTCTAATTTACTCTGACTTGAGGGTTCTTGGAAGTTTGTTTGACTTTATTTAGAGGACACGGAGTTTGTTGTCATGCACACTTCACATGAGCACAGAAAAATGAGCGAGAAACGCCGAAAAGGTGGATTTGCTTGCAAGAAGAAACGCACAAGTGAACTGCGTTGGAATATTTTAGCTGCAGAAAGCGTAATAAAAACACGTCTCCCGTTAGCGCTGTCTTCCAACTGCTGCCGAGGAAACAAGTAATTTGTTTGTCTGTTTAAATCAGCAGCGCCAAGTTCTCCATGACAAGTGCAAAGCCAGATCTGAATGCCATCCAGAGACTTTGGATAACTTTACCCAGTGGTATGAGAAACGGTAAACACAAACACTAAAATAAAACAAGATACACATGTAATCAATTACGTCATGTGCAATATCGTCATGCGCTTGTTTTTCTCAGAGCTGTTTGAGAATCCTGCAGCTACGACGGATTTCAGCCAAACAACGGAGTCTGACGGTCCACTTTATAAATGAGGACTAGGAGCTGAAAAGTGTATTTTCCTGGACGATCCCACAAGTTAAAATATCACTGGACCTCGATAAAAGACACCGAGTCTGCATAACAACAGATGATAGTCAAAAATATTAAAGGCAGATGTGTTTATACAAACCCCCCCCCAGTGATTTTACGAGGATTAATTCTTTCCAAACACAGTTATGCAAGTCAGCTGGAGTAGTTGTTTTTTTTTTGTTCATATCGCAGTACAGTTATATTGTAGAAGAACAAAATGCTGCAATGCCAGTGTATTTTTTTCCCCAATATCGTGCAGCCTCACCTGGGAACGTCAGCCCTCGAGCTACGTTTTACCCTCACCTTTATTCATAAGGTCTGGGTAGTAAAAAAAGAATGAGAACGCAAGAGGCTGGAATTAGTTTCCTCTGTAGAGTCGCTGGGCTCAGAGTTCAGGTGAGGAGCTCAGATATCAGGAAGTAGCTCAGACGAGAGTCAAAGGAAACAGGCCAAGGTGGCTCAAGCGTCTGATTAAGGATGCTGCTTCTTCTTCTTGAGTGCTTTCTTTGGAGGCTTTCCGGGCATCTGGGAGGAGGCCCAGACCTCGCTGGATTAATTAAACATCTCATCTGGGTTTGGGATCGTCCTGAAGGAACTGGATGGCAGTGCTGGGGAAAAGGAATGAGCTGCTGCCACCGCGACCAGAGAAGTGGAAGAAAATGGGCAGGATGGAAAATCTACTATCAACACATTAGCCGGTTAATTCTGATTAATCGCTGCAGCTCTCGTGAATTCCAACAACAGCAGCAGCAGATATTTCATTTTTATCTTTGTATATATTTATATTGTTTAATTTATTTTTAAAATGTACTTATTTGTTGATTATGTTCTATTTTACCCTTTATTACATATTTATTTGGTAGTAATATCACTACTTCCAGCCTTGTTTTCATGTTTTCTTTACCTTTACTCCACCTGCTCCTCTTCCTCTCTTGGATATGGAACTTTTGGTTCTTTCATTATTTCACCTGGTGTTGCTGTATTGATTAGTTTTGAAAAATTCTGACCATGTTTAACTCTCTATCCTGCTGCTTGGACTCTGTGTTTTAAAACATGCGACATAAATAAAGTTAACACGAGTGTGAATGTTTGTTTTTTCAACTTTCTGTGAGTTTAGCAGCTTCTACTGCCTGTTTAAAGCTGCTAAATTCCGGTTTTTCTACCACTGTGGTACTTTAATGAGTACACAAACACTGGTTAGCACTTCATCCAGTGAATGGAGCCAAAGCTAACAAAGAAGCTGTGATGCTAACTAGCCGGCAGCTGGCCACTAGTTAGCGTGCCAACTAGCCGGAAGCTAGCCGCTAGTTAGCATGCTACTTACTGTAGTGTAGCCGGCAGCTAACCGGCAGCTAGCATGCTAGTTAATGTAAACGGCACATCCAGATCCGGTTACTAAGCTAGCAGCGGCGCTAACCTCTCGCTCAGCGCCGCCTTGTTTACCGGCTTTATTTAAAGTTTGCGTGTTAAAGTGACACTGAAACCGGTGAAAAACGCCATGTTGCGGGTCTGTGACAGATGTTACCTGCGGTGCTGGATGACAGGCGGCTCCTCGTCGCTTCAGCGTCCGTCAACACTGATGTCTGCCCGGGGAAAGTGGGGGAAAGGTCGCGCGGCTGCCGTTACCGGGTGACATAATCAGTGTGAGCGCGTCAACTTTAGCCCAGTTCACAACCGGCCACAATACAGCCGTAATATCACCGTAATACAGCCCGGAGAGCGGCTGATAACGTTAACAAGGAGCCGGTGTCACGACAGCACTGCAGGACCTTCATCTGTGATTAAAACCGGTGGAGTTTGTTGAAGCTCTTCTAGTCCACAGATGAACAGTTTAACCTTCACTAGTTAGTCAGACAGTGGTTTGCTGAGTGGAACCAACCATCACAACTACAAGTACTGAGAAAGAAAGTGGTATTTTGAACCGAACACACCATTACAGCCATAAGTACTGGGACCAAGTAGTAATTTGGGTGGAACAAACCTTTAAAATGATACATACCAGGACAGAAAGTGGTGTTTTGGGTGGAATAAACTTTTAAAACCACAACTTGTTAGTTAGAAAGTACAGTTTGGGTGAACAAACCATTAAAACTACACATACTTTTACCAAAAGTAGAATATTGGGTGGAATAAACAAATAAAACTATACATACTTGAACAAAAAGTTGTATTTGAGTGGAACAAACCATTAGAACTGTGAGTACTTAGACAGAAAGTAGTATTTTGAGTTCAAGAAACCATTAAAAGTACAAGTGCTTACACAAAAACTAATATTCTGGGTGGAACAAACTATTAAAACTCTAAGTACTGAGAAAAAAAAGTAGTTTTTTTTAATTGAACACACCATTAAAACTAAAAATACTTGGACAGAAAGCGGTATTTGGGGTGGAATAAACTTTTAAAACCACAACTTGTTAGTTAAAAAGTACAGTTTGGGTGAACAAACCATTAAAACTACACATACTTGTACCGAAAGTAGAATATTGAGTGGAATAAACAATTAAAACTATACATACTTGGACAGAAAATATAATTTTGAGCACACCAAATCATTAAAAGTACAAGTACTTGGACAAAACGTAGTATTTTAAGTGGAACAAACCATTAAAAGTAGAATTATGCAGGGGAAAAAAGTAGTATTTTGGGCAGAACAAACTATTAAAACTATAAGAACTGAGAGAAAATGTATTATTTTGAATTGAACGCACGATTAAATTTATAAATACTCTGACTGAGTAGTAATTTGGGTGGAACAAACCATTAAAAATTCAAGATAAAAAGTACTATTTTGANTATATATTTATATTGTTTAATTTATTTTTAAAATGTACTTATTTGTTGATTATGTTCTATTTTACCCTTTATTACATATTTATTTGGTAGTAATATCACTACTTCCAGCCTTGTTTTCATGTTTTCTTTACCTTTACTCCACCTGCTCCTCTTCCTCTCTTGGATATGGAACTTTTGGTTCTTCCATTATTTCACCTGGTGTTGCTGTATTGATTAATTTTGAAAATATCTGACCATGTTTAACTCTCTATCCTGCTGCTTGGACTCTGTGTTTTCAAATATGCGACATAAATAAAGTTAACACGAGTGTGAATGTTTGTTTTTTCAACTTTCTGTGAGTTTAGCAGCTTCTACTGCCTGTTTAAAGCTGCTAAATTCCGGTTTTTCTACCACTGTGGTACTTTAATGAGTACACAAACACTGGTTAGCACTTCATCCAGTGAATGGAGCCAAAGCTAACAAAGAAGCTGTGATGCTAACTAGCCGGCAGCTGGCCACTAGTTAGCATGCCAACTAGCCGGAAGCTAGCCGCTAGTTAGCATGCTACTTACTGTAGTGTAGCCGGCAGCTAACCGGCAGCTAGCATGCTAGTTAATGTAAACGGCACATCCAGATCCGGTTACTAAGCTAGCAGCGGCGCTAACCTCCGCTCAGCGCCGCCTTGTTTACCGGCTTTATTTAAAGTTTGCGTGTTAAAGTGACACTGAAACCGGTGAAAAACGCCATGTTGCGGGTCTGTGACAGATGTTACCTGCGGTGCTGGATGACAGGCGGCTCCTCGTCGCTTCAGCGTCCGTCAACACTGATGTCTGCCCGGGGAAAGTGGGGGAAAGGTCGCGCGGCTGCCGTTACCGGGTGACATAATCAGTGTGAGTGCGTCAACTTTAGCCCAGTTCACAACCGGCCACAATACAGCCGTAATATCACCGTAATACAGCCCGGAGAGCGGCTGATAACGTTAACAAGGAGCCGGTGTCACGACAGCACTGCAGGACCTTCATCTGTGGATCAAACCGGTGGAGTTTGTTGAAGCTCTTCTAGTCCACAGATGAACAGTTTAACCTTCACTAGTTAGTCAGACAGTGGTTTGCTGAGTGGAACCAACCATCACAACTACAAGTACTGAGAAAGAAAGTGGTATTTTGAATTGAACACACCATTACAACTATAAGTACTGGGACCAAGTAGTAATTTGGGTGGAACAAACCTTTAAAATGATACATATTAAGACAGAAAGTGGTATTTTGGGTGGAATAAACTTTTAAAACCACAACTTGTTAGTTAGAAAGTACAGTTTGGGTGAACAAACCATTAAAACTACACAAACTTTTACCGAAAGTAGAATATTGGGTGGAATAAACCATTAAAACTATACATACTTGGACAAAAAGTTGTATTTGAGTGGAACAAACCATTAAAACTGTAAATAATTGGACAAAAAGTGGTATTTTGGGTGGAACAGACCATTAAAAGTACAAGTACTTAGATAAAAAGTACTATTTTGAATTGGACATACCATTAAAACTTGAAGTACTTGGACTGAGTAGTAATTTTGGTGGAACAAACTTTTAAATCCATAAAGTGGTTGTGAGAAAGTGCAGGTTGGATGGAACAAATCTTTAAAACTATACGTACTTGGACAGAAAACGGTACTATGGGTGGAAAAACGTTTTAAAACCACAACTTGTTAATTAGAAAGTACAATTTGGGTGGAGAAAACCAGTAAAACTGTAAATACGAGGACAGAAAGTGGTATTTTGGGTGGAATAAACTATTAAAATGACAACTTGTTAGTTAGAAAACACAGTTTAGGTGGAGCGAACCCTTAAAACTGTAAATACTTGGACAGAAAGTAATATTTTGAGTGGAACAAACCTTTAAAAGTACAAGTACATGGGGAAAAAAGTAGTATTTTGGGTGAAGCAAACCATTGAATCTATAAGCACTGAGACAAAAAGTAGTATTTTGAGTTGAACACCATTAAAACTCGGACTGGGACTGAATAGTAACTTAGGTGGAACCAACCTTTGAAACCACAAACTGGGAATGAGAAAGTGCAGGTTGGGTGGAACAAAGCTTTAAAACTATACAGACTTGGACAGAAAGTAGTAATTTGGGTTGAATAAACTTTTAAAACCACAATTTGTTAGTCAGAAAGTGAATTTTGGGTGGAGCAAACCACGAAAACTGTAAATAATTGGACAAAAAGTAGTATTTTGGATGGAATAAACGTTTAAAACCACAACTTGTTAGTTAGAAAATACAGTTTGGGTCGAGCAAACCTTTAAAACTATAAAAACTTGGACAGGAAGTAGTATTTTGATTGGAACAAACCTTCAAAACTATACGCACTTGGACAGAAAGTGGAAAGTATTTGAGCCGCTGACATGTTGTGCTGCAGATGTTTGCGTGCAGCCTAAAATCTGTCCACACGACAAACATGTGCAGGAAAACAAATGGTGCTTCAAAGAAAGGCTTGTTTTGAGGAAAAACTGTGAGAACGTTCTCCGTCCTCGACATCTTTATAAATCATCCATGAACGGCTTGGAGCTGACTCAGGTGCCGCAGCCCAAATCTGTCAATAGCTGCTATATTCTATAAAAAGTGCAAAGTCTCAGGAGCCCGATTTGTTGTGTGTATGTTCGACAGCATGCTAACTTGCAGCTGTTCAACATAGGTTAGGCTGTTAGCATGCTAGCATTTGCTAATTAGCATCACTGGTAAAATGCTAAAGTCCCTCTCCGGTCATTGATTTAACCCCTAAACTCGAATCTCTGTGTAAGTGAAATATTTAGAAGTTTTGTCCATGAAGATAGTCACGTTCTACTATTTGTTCCTTTAGAATGTGCAACTCAAGCACACCAGCTCACCTACAACCCTACTGCTCTACGGCAAGTTGAATGTTGGAGCTGAAAGCAGAGAGGTTTGGTTCAATATGAAATCCAACAAGTTTGAATCTGTTCCATTGGAGAAAATGCTCAGCTGTGGTGCTTATTTTTGTATTCTTGTATAAAAAACAGTCAAAACGCCGTCCTGCATGTGGCTCCACATGAAAAATCATTGATAAAGTTTTTGGAGTTAATCCTCTTTAGTAAAGACGCTGGCAGCATTTACAGCAGATTGAATCAAAAATGGGAAACGTTCTCTTGTTTTTACTCCATCCAGATGCAGGTGTAATCACACATAAAGTCCATTTTGATTGTTAGCTCATAATGTTATCACTGTGACACTCAATGACGTTGATTTTCTGGTAAACATCTGCATAGTTGGAGCTCCAGAAATGTGACCATTTGCTGCTTTCTTAGTCATACATGACGGAAAAGAGAATTTCTTGAAGAAAACAAGAAGTTTAAGGACACTTTGGAAACAGCATCCTGCACTTCTCATTATTTTCTGACATTTTACACACCAGCTGATGGCGAGATTAATCAAGAAACCCGTTCCCTCATTAATCAATAAGGAAAGCAAAGCAAGTAATTAAAGTGTCCAGTCAGTCAGTACCTCTTTGTGAGTCCTTCGCAGGTTCGGGGAGGACGATGTGGACGATGTGCAGCTTTAGTCCTCTTGCTAACAGCCCAGTTTAGTTTTTAAAAGCCTCTTATTGTAATTATTAACCCAGGATCACACACACACACCGATGCTTCATTTATAACACAAAACCTCCACGTTTCAAAGGCGGCATGAGCGACGATACGGAGCTGAGTCACCTTTACATCAGCACACACATGTTGATTAGCAACAACAACAACAACGCTGCTGCTTGGACTTTGTGTTGTTGTACGACTGATATGACGTAAACGTG